AACCATTGGCAACTCGTTGGAATGATAGTAACCAAAGTATAACGTTTCAATTTGTCCCCGACTTAAAAAGCTTCTTTAAAATAAAATGGTTTACTCCCGATTACTACACAACTCAATTATTTACAAATCACGGAAAGTTTGCTACGTACCTTGCCAGATTTTTAAACAGAACATCAGATCAGTGCCCAACCTGTATGATTGCAGATGGATCTCAACACTACATTTTTGATTGTGTAACGACCGAAATAGAAAGAACTGAACTGCGGCTACTCTTGCAGGAATTTATCATAGCTCGGCCGTGCCACCTCTCAAACATCTGGACCAACCAAGAGATATTCTCTGCCTTTAAAAGACTTGCAAAAATGATCAATCAGATCACAAGCCAACTAATCTACTGCTAACACTGACTTTGACTTAAAGACTGTCTACTTATAGTGTTAGCTTTGTAATTACTATTTCACACGCAAATACGTTGTTACACGCGAATTTTATTTAATTACTAGCTGCAAGGACCCGCTTCGCTGGGTTTTTATTTGTGGGCAAAAAGTAACGATAGTGAAAATTAAGATAATTACATTATAGCCAATCTTACCCGTTTTCACAGAATGCAAGAATTAGGTCCCCCGTTTCCAGACTAATTAGAGAATTTTTACATTCAGTCAAACGAACTATTTTCAATTTAATATATTTTCTGGAACGTTTACAATCGTTTTATAATCGAACCAATTCGAATTCGAAAATTTTAAAAATCGAAATAGAAAATCTTCTACTTTCAACCACTTCAAGCCCATATCTCCCGCACCCTTATAGCTATCGAGATGCAACCACCATAGTGCACGAATGGAGACTCGGGGCTACTACCACATACAAACACCATTCATGTGCGATGTGTAGTTTTGGCTGAAAAATGAAATATAGGGTCACACACGTCCATTTATATATATATATAAGTTTTGTGCATTTTATCCACAATTACGAGGTCCTATATGGAATCTACATTGTATTCACTGCTGTTTACTAACATTATTCTGTATTCATTTTTCTGTATGTAGTCCTGTGGAACTAATATCATGCGAGTACTTAGTCTTATTTAGATGTAATATCACTTAATTTTATTTCATTGATTTCGTGGATTTTATCAATTATTTTGCAGTTCTGCATGTAATTTACAATGGACTCACTGCTGTTCGCTTATGTTTTTTCTGTATTCATTTTTTTCTACTCGTAATTTTGTGGATTTGATGTCGCGCGAATACTTTGTTTTACTAAAGTATAGTATAATTTAATTTTATTTAATTATAATTTTACGGATTTTATCCATTAACTTAATGTTATGCATGGTATGTACTGTACAGAAGTGCTATAGTGCTATAGCGGAGCCAAGGTATGCATTTATGCCTTCGTAAATAAATTGAAACTGAATTGAATACTGACAGGCCATCGGTCGGACCCGTTCTATAGCTATACAGACATTTATCATAAATTTTCTTTGGATCATTCGTAGTTTCTTCTTTGTTTCTGTAATGTACGGGATACAAGCGTAGGGCTTCTCCTTACGCTTGTACCCCATATAGAATTGTCGGTTCGATTGTCGCTTTATAAATTAACTTTCTGAATTTGTAGTTGAGACTCACAAACATTGCGAGATATTTGCAAAAGTATATTTAATTTTTGGAGCATTTTTATGGATTTTGCTTACGTTACTTTCCCAAGTAAAGGCCCTAATAAATTTCAACATATTTTCCTAGATACTGCATCTGATTGACATTTTTTATCTTATTCCCGTTTATGTACATTCTGACTTGTCTCTTTAATTAATTTTTCCCTATCTTTGTACTCACAAGTATCTCACATTTCGTACAAAACGTACTGAAGCGCCTTCAAAAAAATGTACTATTTTTTTTCAAAATGTACTAGTTCTAAGAATACTTTGTTTACGTGCCTATATATATATATATATATAAGCCCGTAATTTATATATATATATAGTTTATTGTCAAATAATTTAATTTTAAAACTTATTTTTGGATTTTTTTGAAAGCTATTTAAAATTAAAAATATATCTACACATCTATTACTTATTATAAAATGAGCATTACATTGACAACATTTATTAATAATACTATTGAATTTCATCTTAATTTTATAACCAATCGTGCTTTAAAAAAATAATTATAAATTTGTTATATTATATTATTTTATTCTTTATTATACTTTAACTTTTTTTGATGTTATTGCATCACTTTACGAAGTGGTATATACGTAATTGCATCAGTTTTAGTACCTATTTAATTAATTTCACTCATGACAGCAAAAGATAAGGATGCTTTTTTTTAAAACTATTTGATGAAAACGTTACATAAAATCAGGGTTGCATAATAATCCGAAATTATTATTATATTTTTGACTAGAAATTACAGGATTTATGCAACTTTAGTTTAATTAATGTCATATAAAACTGACTGCTCGTACAAGTTTGCTTAAAACATGCCACTCAAAAAACCCCAAAATGGCAGCTCAAGAAGTAGATCACGCATGTTTTGACCTTCTTATATAAACCTTGGAACAGTCAGAAGCGGGCCATTTTGAAACCATACGTAACATTAACCCTTATTTCTTTTACTACAATTACTAAAATTGAAGTTCATAATTTAAGAATTAAATTATAGTAATAGAAAATAATATGAAAGTATTTATAATATTTGTACTCGTACAATTTCAAAACTATTTTTTGTAATAATTTTTTCTGACTTAACGGATATTTTGATATTATTGAAGACAAAAGTTTAAAATCATTGATTTCCTTACCTGTCCATTATTTTTGTTTGACGGAGTTGAATTGTTTGGACCACGTGGCATGAAAAATTTTGTCAAGGTCCTGATGAGAATGTGCAGACAATTGAAAGTGTGAAAGAAGACCACTGTGTCAAGACCGTTTACACGTGCAACTATCTATGTTGTTGACGTCGACGGACACACACCGTTGGTATGTTGTGATTGGATAATTTAAATTAGCAAGCAGTGACACTAGTGAGACTTTATTAAACTAATTTTTTCTCATTTTTTGTTAAGGCGTGAAATATTAATTTGTACAGTAAGTGGTACTTGAAATATTACAATGTACTGAAAATGTACCAAAAATCTAAATGTACTTTCAATTTACTGGAAAGGGCAAAATGTACCAGAAAAGTACAAATGTACTAGAAACGGCAACACTGGGCCTGGCCTTCTCCTCGAGCCTTGTGGGCAGATGCTGGTGACCTTTCTTCCAATTGTAATGTTGTCGGAATATTATCCTGCCATCCCGTTGCGTAAGTAGTTTTTTTAAATTACTTGAATATTGCCAGGATATTCAGATTTATTTCTCTTTTAAATTTTTTAAGTGCCGGCTTGTAGTCTTCTGTTAGTCATTTTCTTTTTTCGACGGTGCTTCTGGTCATTTTCCTTCTAACTTTCCGAATCTGCTTTTTCTTGCCTCTCTAGTTCGCTTGTTTACCAAGGCATTTTCTTTCGATTAGTTTTTTATTTTGGTTACTTGCCAGTTTGCATTGCTTCAGTTATATGTGTTACATACTAATCAATGTACGAGTATGTAGTAAGTTTTCGGAAGTCATACTTTTCATTTCCTAGCAAACACCTCACTAAATAAGTCCCAGTTGGTCAGTCTGCATATTTTTCTCCCATTGGTATTGTAAAATTGTTTATCTTCATGATAAGGCTTACTGAAGGTATAAGCCACAATGCAGGGGTGCAGTTTTCAAGTTATTTTTAACTTCTTTAATTTAAAATATATGGCATGATACCTACATCAAAGTGGTAGTGGCTTGCACCTGTACAAAAAACTTTTTCTGTTAACAGTAGAGGAATGCCTATCATATAAATGACTCTTTTTAGGAGAAACAATTACAACTGAAACGACCCGAGTTTAGATTTGCATCGGTAGGTCTTATACACTTAATTGAAGTCTATTAACTTTTTTCGTACCAATACTAATTGTGTGAGATCCGAAAGGCCCTGGGTCTAATTTGTGAATTTTTATTAATATGTTTAAAATATCGACAAAATATTACTTCATTTTGTGTGAAAAAACTAGTGTTTTAGACGTGGGAAAAATAGATGACAAATGTCATTTCCTTTCCACAGAAGAGAACATCCGCTGTTTTTCCCATATCTGGTTAAAAATCTCGCTCGGATGGGAAATGGTTACCCCTCATTCATCCCCCTTTCGTCCGTTCTCACGAAAGAGTTACTGGACGATGATTGGACGAAATTTTGAAATAAAAGGAGAAATTAGTCAGAATTCGGGGAGTTCTCCGACCGATTTGAAAGTGTCCAGACTCCACATACGTTTCCTCCTGATGGCCAACGCCCATAACGGAGTCCGATAGACTAAGTCCCGAGTCTACACTTAGAAGAAGTGATATTTTTATATTTTGTGCACGAATTGATCTCCCATACGAAAGTAATATGAACTCTATCTACAAGGTGTCCTATATCTACAGAAACGAAGACGACAACTAACAGGTCGTATGTTTAGAATCATTTTGTGAGCTCTCTCTCTCGAACGCGCATTAGCATAGATTAAGTCGTAGTCTCTAGCTTGTCGCTAAATGGTTGTAATCGAAATTTTTGTATTCGTTTGTTTGAGATTTATTAAATTTACTCTTGTTTTATTTTATAAGAATGTCTCCTCAATTTATTCCGAATCAGATCGCATACGCGTGTTAATCCGCGTATAATAAGATCGATTAACTGGTGTCAAGGAATCCTGACGTAGATCCGAATCTCGCGATTTGGATCATTATTAAAAGCCCTCCTATAGGAACTTTTAGGATCGGATCTCTCGATCTGAAACCTGGAGAACTAGTTTTACCAACTGGGTGCCGAATAAGTGGTACAAACAATCCTCCTCGGATTAGTATCCCCGGCTGATCTCACAATTGTTATCTTTTCAGTTTTATCTGTTTTCTCGAGATTAAGGACGACAGGCAGATAGCCAACAGTGGGAATTTATTAATGTATTGTACATATTTTGAAATTGCAGTTCCAAAACTTGTTATTACATGTATGAAAAGCGAACAATAAACTTCACAAACTGAAGTATACACAGGAAACTGGTATTTAAAATTCTTCTAAAATATCCTAGAATTTCAAATTAACATATTTGAAGCTACATATTGAAATAAATTGTAATAAGTCAGTTATTTCTACTTTTGGCGAACCTGAGATCTACTGTGTCAATTTCATTCGGTCCTTCAGAACTCGGTGCTACGTGACTTCCGCAGAACAATCTACAATCTAAAGTTAATAAGTAACATTTAGTTAAGTGATAAATTTTATATTTATTTAATTTCTTTTGAAATTACTACAGTAGAGCGTCGATCATCCGAAAGTCAATCATCCGGAACGTCAATCATCCGAAAGAATTCCAGACAGCAAATTTAAATTTTCATTTGCCATTGCTGTGGCGCTGCAATCTTTGGCTATGTCTTGGGCTACTCAAATATTTTACGTTTTTGATACAAAATTAAATTCTGAAGTATAATTTTTTATTGTTTTTATATTTTTTAATATATTTACTTTGTTTGTACAAAATAAAAAATAATTTTTAACGATAAAATAGTATTCGTTAGGCTTAACACTGACGAAAATTCAACACAAAGCGACACGCAACGGAGAAAAATTTCAACATGGAATAGGTTAATATATTTTTTCGTATATAATCGGTTATCCGAAAAATAAGTTATCCGAACAACCGCTGTCTCAATTGATTTGGATAATCGACGCTCTACTGTATTTTCATTTGTCTTTACATTAACAAGAAGTGTCCAAACGACAATTTAATAATGTTCGATTGATAAATTTGTTAACTGTCATATAATTTCATACATTTAATGAAATGAAGATGTTATATTACTAAATAACGTCGATTTCGTATGATTAGATGTAAAATTGTTGAAATTAAAAGTAGATTGAGATAATCTGTGTTCGGTTATAACTGCTGTTACTTGTATCACCGAAGAGAATATAGAGTATAATGCAGAGAAAATAAGCATTCATACATTACTCACCCCATACAAGAAATTTTTTATTATATAGAAGAAGTCTGCGATTGAAATTCGCATTAAAGATTTTTTTGAATCTTTTCATGAAACTCGTTATCTGCAATAGTTTAAATGAAACAATTGCATGAAATGTTCATATAAAGTAATAATTATATTTAAATTATGTATTACCGTATACTTGAATTCGACTGAAAATTTTTGTATTGAAATGAAATTATCGTACATCTGAAAAGTAATGTATGAAAGTAGTTAATCTCATCCGTAGAATAGTGACAATTCAATGGGTGTAAAAGAGTACCTGGCATCATCATGATTGGCGGCATGGGCCCGGGCGGACCCATCATCTGCATCGGTCCCGGCATGGGACCGGGCATGGATCCCATTCCGGGAGGAGGTCCGACCATGGGCATCCTGGGTGCGGGCTGCCTGGGATTACCCACTTGCAGACTAGCAGGAGGTGGTATCATGGCGCCACCGGGTGGGACACCTGGAGGTTTCGGCGGCTGTCCAAACTGGCCGGATTGTATCTTTCCAGCCTTAAAGGCAGCAGCTAAAATGTTTTTAAAGTGTATTATAAATAAATTTTCCACAAAAGGAAACAAACCAAAGTACAAAAATCTTACTTGTCGCATCGATCAAGTTTTGGGCCTGTTCTTCCATCCACTTTTGATAGTAAAATTTCACATTTTCTTTGTGTTTACGTCCATTACAGTGGGTTTTCCTCACAGAAGGCTTTAAAATAAATAAAATGGCAGTAAATTTTTTAGAATGCTTGTAGATTCTTAAGAAATGACTTACCGAATCGTGTGTCAGATAAGTGTCGCAGTAGTCACAGTAGTATCTGAAAGAAAACAGTTTGATGATTGATATAGTGTTGTCTTTCATCATACAAGTGGAAATAAAATCTTAATCCGAACAAACATTTAAGATATTCTGAGTAATATAAAATTCATTCATTTCCATGATATTTTATAATAATAAGCATAAAATTAAGTCATAAAACAGAAATAGCTGTATGGGGAAATCCCCCACAAACTTCAACCTATTGACCTAGAAGTTTTGCCAGCACCTCACTGATAATGAGAAAGGCTTAAATTTAAAGTCTGAGCTTTCTAGACCCAGTAGTTTTTTCTCTACAAGTGTCTGTGTGCCAGAAAAAAAGAAGAAAATACAAGAAGAAAATTTTATTTCTTCCGTGGCGAAGCAAATAAAATCACTTATTATCATTGACATTGGAAGGCATTGCCAAGGATGCGTTATGTGAATTAAAATGTGAGAGAGTTGTGCCATGCAATAAGCAGGGGGACTAATATTTTCAGCTTTAATTACAAAGACCAGACTGTTGTATCCATAGTGCTAACATAGACTGCGATATTATCATCTGTATTTAAATGATGTATTGTATTGTATTGTTTGCTGCAGAACCATTGTTATCCTATACAATGCAGTGAATGGACAATTCGTACAGCCAGTAGTGTTCATCATGTTTATTTTTGATGAGAACCACCCAACATAAATGTGTACATTGGATATTTAATAGTAATCATTGTTATATAAGTGGCATCTGACAGAGCAACCTATCCCAGCAATGGAAAACCTTTCACTACAGACAGATCAAAATTGAATTTGAAATTTATTAATTCCAACTGTGGGTCAAATACAGTGGGTGATTAGTTAATGAACACTTTCATGAAAGATTTTTATGATCAGACAATGAACACTTCACTGAACAAATACAAGAAGCAGCAAGGTAAAATAATAAATACCAATTGGCCTACCCTTATCTTCGGGCCACAATTTGAAACTTTTAGGAGCGCGGGAGACGTCGACATCGATGTTCTCCCAGTATATACTGATCGGATAGTATTCCCCCGAAGTTTGAAACTCTCCCTTGTAATTCCAGCTTTTTATATTTCTGACAGAAACAATTCTTTTATGTTTTGTTCTGAAAACGGATTTATGCTGATATTTGCTATTAAAGATCTTTTGAAGAAGCGGGAATAACGGTCTTAATTAATTAATTTAATTAATTAACCAGGCAGACAACGGCATCCAAACTAGATTGAGTTTAATAGGCCTAGGAATCTCTACAATTACATTGCTATTAATTATTTCTAAAAAATCATGAAGAAGACAGAAAACCAATCGACATTGGACTGATTTTTAACCCCCACAAACGGAAAAAAACATGACTAATAAAAATGCAAGACCGTGTATATACGTGAATAAACGTAGTAAGAAAGTATATATTTTTTATTTTTACGGGGTCTCCAGAACGAATTAATCAAATTCCCATAGAAACCTATGGTAAATCGATAATCGGTTAATGAACAATTCAGATAGCGTACAAAGTCTTGGAATGGATTATGTTCGTTAACCGATCACCCACTGTATTTTAATTAAAATTTTTGTATCTAAGATTCACAATTTAAGACTTTTTTGACAACTTTAGGACCCCTGCTTTCACACTGTGCGCGCAAAGTTTTGAAATCTGTCAAATAATTTATAAAAACCCAATACTTTCTAAACATTCAATTTATATTAAATTAACACATTAATTCTTTTGTCTCTGTTTTACCAAAACACTTCAAAGTTTTCCCTAGCCCATTTCCCACCTTTTGGTTTGGGCTTCCTATTTTAAACCACATTCATAAACATCTTTTTATTTCATACTAGGTACACAAACATGATAATTCATTATAACTTACACTATCATAGTAAAACACAGTACATGCACCTCTACCTATCTTTAAAACTTACCCTCACTGAGCTCATCTTCCCTTTAGTTCTATGATCTCCTTGTAATACTCCACTAATACTTATTCTTTTCTAATACTAATGAATAAATATAACACAAACATTTAAAAATTTCCATTCTATTAATTAAAACAGTAATTCTTCATTCAATCTTCTCACTTTTCTTGTAAGCCAATACTAATTATGCTCTATCCTTATCATTTTTGTAATGTCCCGTGCTGTATGTTTGTAACTTGTCCATACTCTACTTCTGAACTCTTAACACATTGTAAATTCCATTGTCTTTCTCATCTCATTATTAATTATAGTCTGCATTGTAAAATTAATTGTATGTGCATATAAATTATAAAAACCTCTGGTCTGGTGCATATAAATTATAAAAACCCCTGCATCACCAGCCCTTCTGGAAGGTTAAAAAAAATTATATTCTTAAGTTTATGTATATCCTGTAAATCATTGTAAATCGCTTCTTCTTCATCTTACTATCCTCCCTTCTTCATATTATTTAAGTCATTCTAGCCACTCTTTCTCCCCTGCCCACCATAAACACTAAAACAAATTCCTCTTTCCCAAATAACTAACCTTTTTCTGCCACCTTTCTCTTTAAACATTTACCGTGCTATACTTCTTTTCCCCGCTGACTGCCTGCCTCGTACTACACTTGTTATCAACCATCAAGAAACAACAACAGCAAAACAAAGAAATCAGCAAATGTCAAGTACTGAAAAAGCAAAAACTCAACAAACTCCAAGAACCACAAAACATGAAAAAGAAAATAACCACAACTGACTCTTCAAGGAACAACAATGTCTCCGTTCACCACACAAAACTACACACTTGCTGCAGATTGTGTGGTGAATCTTTCCTTCACTTCCTACTATGCTGTTACAAACTCTCTCAATAAGGTTTTCCAGCATCCCCCTTTTCGTTTTGCTCCCCGTTGCATTTATTAAATATCTTTTCGGCTTTTCCCTCAGCTGGGTTGGTGGAGTTTTCTGAGTTTCCTCCACCTCTTTTTTCCCCTAATGGGGACCAGCTGCCCCTTCAAGTTTACAGTCCTCCCGGAAGGCTGTAGCTAATACCAACAATGGTATTAGGTCCCTCAAAATTCTTTATTCAAAATTTTGCTGGAAATCTTTATCGCTGGATACTTCACTGTGGACTCCCTATTTCAACCACTTTGAATCATCCACAAGACGTTAGGTTAGGTGGGGCTGGGTTTCATATTGCAACTTTCCTATCAATCTTTCCATTCTCCTTGGTCATTAAAAATTAGGTAAGTAAATAAAGCGGAACATAAAACATAACAAACAGAATAAAAATTTAAACATAACAATAACACGTAACGTTATGAGCCCTCACAAAGGACTAGATCTTATGAGCTCTACTTGGGACTTCTATGAGCCCATTTAGGGACACTAACCCCAGACCACCCTTCTTAACATAACATTCTTGGCCTCTTTGTGCTCTCTGAGCAATAAGGGGCCTAATACCAAAAAACAAAAAAAAAACAAAAACATTTAATTTGGATACAGTAAAACTATCAAATTGGTCACAGGTTTACCATCATCGACGTACACAAGTGGACACTTAATACTCCGTACCGTTATATCATGCACGATATCCAACAACCTACAAGCCAGACTATTTTTGCCCATTAAGGCAAGCCAAACTCACGACAACTAGACAACACTAGATCCAAACTGCATGCAGTAAATTGCAAGCACGCCTACCGAATTTGAACCGGAACCCACAAGGAGAAAAGCTAATGCTTTTCCAAGAGACCTGCCAAAAGGAAATAAATAATTAAGTGCACTTAACCAACATAAATATCATCTTATTTATCACCAGACAGATATATTCCTAGCAAAATGTGCAAAGTAAATTATTTTTGCACAAAGCTTGCTGAAAGAAAGCAGACGGTACAATTAATTTCCTTGTAGCCATCATGCTAGTGAATGCACTATTAATTGAAGGTATACAGCTGATTGTTATAGTCTCACAGAGCCATATTATCAATTAAAAATCATTACTTCCATTAAATGGTTGATGTTACCTCCAAAAACTGGAGTACCATAAGTAGTCCAGTCACCGATCCTTACAGAACTATTTATGAGGGAAATAGAAGCTATAATTTTTTCAGCTCCACTCATCATCCATTACCTGCTATTGTATCTCAGATATATTGGGATGACACATATACAAAAGTATCAATGTTTGTTCCGTGCTCATCTGATATATCATCTCTGATTAACTACACTATAAAAAAAATCACCAGCAAATACTGGCATTTTCAATTTAGCCATACTTAGAGGAGATCATCATCATCATCTTCATTTTGAGATATTCCATAATTGATAGAAACCCTATAATTATAACAGCCATCAAAAATATGGTAATTTCTTCTTTAATGCATTATCTTTACGCTGCTTTTCCCTGACAAAATCTGGATGGGTTGCATAATGGATATATATGGAATATATATATGGAAAAATAAAAGTCAGGTTTAAGTCATTTTATTTGACTTTACGTCTGTCCGCCACAAATATTTAAATCATAATATCTCTAGAAAAGTGTTAAAAGCACATAAAATCATATTAAAATACATACTTCACAGTAAATGTTAATATAATCATCATCAAATCGTAGAGAACGAAATGTGAAAACATCTGTGACTGAATGTCGTCTTATTTAGCGGTCTTTAAGAGCTCAATATTGGCATTTTCCACGGTAGTTCCAATATCTGCTGTTTGGTGTCGTTGTCAGCACCACTCAATATTGGTAAATTTAACATAAATTAGTTTTTCTACTATCGCAAAATAATTTTAACAACTGTATTTGTTATTTAATCCTACAGAATCATTTTATTTTATAATGTCTTAGAGCAAATCACATTTACAAATAGTGCACTGTAAACATCAAATTGTAAACATGTATAGTACATTTACAAGTATGTACGTACGTACATATATTCGCAAATTTAGATTACTTTTTTCTGTACTATATTAAAAACTAAAATTTGTTTGTAACCTTAAAACAGATTCTTATTAACCATACATTATTAAAAATGCATTTATAAATAAAATACAGAACTGGGAATGGTTATTTGTGGTTTAGCCTAGTGACAAGTAAATTCAACTTATGTCGTTTTTCAACTTAAGTCACCTCTCCTGGAACCTATTACCGATGTAAGGCGACGTATACCTGTATATGGTATTGCATTTGAGACCCATAAGTTTTACATCCATGTTTCCACTTTCTCTGGGGTGCAGTGACGGAACAAATGTACAAGAATATCGGAGGACTCAAAAGTCAAACAGATCACTCCCAGTACTCTCCAGAACACATCTGACATAATGCAGTGACAATACTAGGACCAATTCCAACATTTGCAAGAGGAGACACTGCAATATCATACATAAAACTTATTTAATCCATGATAACTTTTCTGATAGCCCGTGTAAACCACATTGCCTGGTATGGCAGCCTTAATATGTCTACACAAACAAACCAATGTGCGAGAATTATAGAAAACAAAGGAAAAAACTCAACAATACAATATTGTTAGAAGCCAGGATATATCAATTTTCTATCCGGAGAACGTCAGCTAATGCTTTCTCAACCTTACTCCCAACTTTAGTTGCCTCTGGAGAACCACACCTTCGAGTACGACGACAAGGGACAACCAAGTTTAGTCAGTCGTCGCCCGTTCATACCATTAGAATCAAGCTTCAGAATCACTCATTTGGATTTGTTTGCATGCTTCACCCGTATTTCTGTCCCGATGCTATGCAAACACGGGCAATACCATCAAACTTTGGCACGGCAAACTATTTTCATTTGTTGGGGACAGTTTTCCCGTGCTTTCCAACATAAGAAATATTGGTCGGGATGCAAAACATTGTAAACTTAAGTATCACTCCTCACGACTGAAATATATATAAATGCAAACTCTGTCTTGCCATTTCCTAGTTATATTTAGTTAATCACATTGTGCGACACCTCATAACAAAGCTACCGTTTCCTTCTCCACCCTCTTACCATCAGTCTTGCCTACAAGACTGCATCACTGCCATCTGCAACCGTGCTTGAAATTCGAATACTAATCACAACCGAGTTGGCGTCAGAATGATTCCAGTTTACACACACATTCGGCAACAGTCCCATTGTATGTAAAATCAAACCAAGTGCATGTAATCAAATAGAATAGCCAGAAATAGTCAAACTGGGTTTGGCTATTTCTGGCTGTTCCATTTGACATGTATTTTAAGGCTTCATCGTGCAAATTTTGTGTATTTTGTAAAGTAATAAGCAAATTTACTTCAGTTTTTGTAAAGTTGTGTAATTTATTAACAAAATTTAAATATAAAATGTGTTTTTGTTACGTGAATTTGATGACACCTAAAGTCACTTCTACCCAACTCCTTTATGAATTTCAATCAATATTCTACGATTATATCATGTTTCAGCGTATAATTTTCAACTTAAATATGATTTATGTACACCAATTAATGGTTTTAATCAATTTAAATCCAATTTAATTCCTAAAATTGATACTTACTTCGGCATTTTCTTTTGTCGTTAACAAATTTAAAACAGCCGACGATTCTTTCGACAAACTCTCCATCCGCCACCTAACGGCGTAAGTTGAGAATTTTTTTTTACACATTTCATGAATTTTATTATCTTACGAGTTATTTAAAAAATTATCGTGTGACTTTTTAACGCATTAAATATTGATAATTATTTAATTTCGTTTGTATTAAATTATAGTTTGGAAAGTATAAAAGTACAGTATATATAAACATCAGTTGCCACCTGGTGTTGGAACCGGAAGACGTATGTGGCGTGATTCGTTTCGTCTGGAGGTAAATAAGTAAATTTCGCTATATTTTAATTACTATTATTCAATTTTGTCATTAAATTGGAATTTATAGGATAAAACGAATATTTTTTAGTTACGTATCGCCTCAAACGATACAAAATTTTTATTTTTTATTTCGGTTTCGACGTAATTTTAACGGATTCTGCTTATTTGGCTACTTATTAGCCAAAACGTCGTGAAATTTAACTCTGCGTTGCATTTTCGCGTCCAATTACGCCAGCGATCTGACTGAAAATTATTAATATTTCTTGCGTTATTTCCTTCTTTTTAAAGTTGATTATTATTATTATTATTATAACTCGTTTTTTTGCTATTGTTAATCCGTTTTATTTTGTCGTACGGCATTCGAATGCCCGTTACGTTCCGATCACTCCCACCAGGGGTCCAAACTACTAAAGGTCTTACGTCACAGGAGGAAATTTCAGGGTACAAAAGCCAGCGAGAAAATTTACATTTAGCATTTTTCCTTCCTTAAATGAGCGCGCGCGGCTAGAAACAAAAAAGAATGGGTGATGCGGTTGTTGAGAAAACTTGAACCAAAACAGTTAAATGACGTCATTAAATCTCGTTTCGCCTATTCGTGGTAGATTTTTTTCTACATATGGCTACAAAGGAATCAATATGGCGATTGCCGCAATGTATCTCTCGTGTCCAGACCTTGATGCTCATTACGAAAATAATATTTAGTGAAACGGGGCAGAATTGTCGCTATAAAATATCGGAGGCAGCCTATCGAGAAAGTTCGATATTGCACGAAAATGCATTTATTTATATTGTAAACGACATCAGAACGCGTTCATTCGCCATTACTAGTAAATCTGGAAAATTTAGTCTATTTTTCCGAGAATCAGTTTAGAATAGCTTTTTTATACGTCACAATTTTCATTTCGGGTACAGTAATACGCGTGTAATTTCATCTGGCAGCCATCTTGACAACTGTCTTCGACATATTCTCGTGCAGCGAGAATCACGAGCGAAAATAGCGTTAACAAAAATGTTAATTTTTTTTACAAGTTTCACCACCAGAGTGCGTCCTGTATTTAACGTTACTAGTCTGCCAATCGGCAGTCGCTACAGCTTGCATTCAGCGCCCCAACGTCAGATATCGGAACTAGAAATGACGTAGTGAGCGCGGTGTGTGTAAATGAGTCACAGATCGGACACTTATTTCGCGCGTCGCGGTAATTTCCGGCTAGAGCTTAAATTTTGTTGACAGATATCGGGCTTAAGTGATTTATTATTAAAAAATATTTCCTTATACTGCTCGTAAAATGTCACGCGACAGCTTAATTGTAATATCTGACACACGTAGTGCTGTGTGTCATTACGTCACGATTTTTGCACAATCTAATCTAATGTGAGGACGATTGTGATTTTGGACTGTAAAAATTAGAGTGCCAAGGGAGAAGTTATTAGGCCCAAATACGGAATGGCTGCCATGATTACGGATGGGGAAAACAATACCCTATTGTTAATACTTCCCCCGTTCAGCAACACATACCCAGGAAGATTTGGAAATTTTGGTCACACCAGCTTGTAATTTGAAATTACAACTGTATTTGTGATGTCGGAAGCAAAGTGGTCCGGCTTCCACCAGACCTTCCTACGGCCTTGTCACTACTGCCGTAGGTCATTACTGTGTTAACGAGCATACGAAACTAATTGATTGTGTGAACCGTTTTGACGTCGAGTCAAAGTGTTCCAGCTAATGTCTTGTTTCTTAATTTTGGAATCTGGCCACTTTAATTTAGTACAGAAAAGAAACTGTATACAGTTAGATAAAACAATAAAATAACAGACTATTGTTCGTCAAATGATCCTGTCAAGGACAAAACCAGATTTCTTTACCTTTTGCCCCAAGTACCGAGAGGGCCTTTCCTTCGAGTCCGTAACAGAGTGTCCTGTGACCATTTGTAAGAGACAGTCGGTCTTTCAAAATATTCTTGGTAACGACCTGGATTCGATCACGGGTCCCACAGAGTGGTAGGATGATGCCTTCTCCATCCGAAATGACTTTATAAATCTCTCCATAGAGGAAAACTTCTGTCATCTTTCTCTTATATGGAGTTTGAGCTCAGTTGAACACAAACAAACCAACCAAACTGTTGTACCTGTTATTGAATGAGATGATACCTGCTCTTTTTCAAACAAATTCTTCATTAAAATCATTAGTTGGCAACACCGTGGCCCATGTTGTGCATGCATAATGTCCGGCAACAATGATTCTTCACATCNCTTAACTTGTTATTGTTTACTTGAGAAGAATATAACAGAGAATAAACTGCCCAAATACCCTTAAACAAAGGAAAAGTACGTCCTTTATGAAGGCATAGAGCCACTACATGAAAATGAAAATTAATGAATACACTGTGTACAGTAATTTACCTGATAAGACAGACCTCAGAAAAATACTTTATGAGAGCTTTTATACTTTTATAAAGCTGTCTATAATGAAAATTAATTAACTAAGGATTTTTTCGCCCTGCCAAGGTGTGGACCAGTTATCCGGAGTGCTAAGTTATCGAGGGACGAGTTTTCGAGGTTCTACTGTATAAGCAAGAAGTTGCGCGTGGCCGCTAATATCGGTGACTCGTCGATCTGAAGTGAGAACTTTCAACAGCTATTGATTTTCTCCTTCATAAAGTCTCTAATGTCACTGGACATCTCAATAACTCGGAGACTGATTGTGTCATCAGAAAGAGGAATTTTTGCTATTTCATTGACAGCTTCTGAACCCAGGACTACGAGTATTTTCACCATCTCTTTGCAAGCAGGCATTAATGACGTTTCAGCTATTGTATGTGGTTTTTTGACCTTTACGATAAGTTCGGCTACCTTATAGCTAGCTTCCTGCACTTTGTCCGAAACACATACTGTTGTAGTGATGAATGCTGCTTGTTTTCGGTTTTGTTCCAACAACTTACGAAAATAATTGACATCTTTGTTTGACAGAGAAGAATGTTTCGTTGACAAATGTCATTTGAATTTACTGGGAACCATAGCAGCATTAGTAAGTTTTTCACCACAAACAATACACCCAGGGATTGGACACGTTTTATCACCGCACCAAAAAAAACCGCAAGATAAATACTGTAATTATCACTATACTCCTGGTGCACTAATTTTTTTGGGCTCAATGCTATCTCTACTTCTACTCGTCGACAGAACACTTAGTACAAAGAATTTGTCCATCTTAGATAAAAATTAAATAGTGTAATAATAATAGAAAAAAATAAGTCTGACTAGCAATCACAATTTTCAGACTACTTCAGAGCACAGCTGAGGTAGAACTGAAATATTTGCAAGACGTGGAACTTATATTATTCAAAGGGAAGTCTAACAAAGGATTTGTGCATCTTAGATAAAAATTAAATAGTGTAATAATAATAGAAAAAAATAAGTCTGACTAGCAATCACAATTTTCAGACTACTTCAGAGCACAGCTGAGATAGAACTGAAATATTTGCAAGATGCAGGACCTATATTATTCAAAGGGAAGTCTAACAATGGATTGGTGTATCGGTATAGGAATGTAATAAAGTTGAGAAAGCACTAACAAACAGGAAAAAGTACCAAAATAAAGTACCCAAAAGTGCTGGAATTAGTCTTTTATTAAAGACACGGTTAATCCAAGCACTTTTGGGAAAAGCACGTATACAGAACAATTGACAAGGGTAACAAAACACCTGTGAGCAAATTTATTTTATATTCAATTTCTTAGAATACATAAAAATGCGAGGCTTGTAAAAAAGAATAAACAAACATCATCATATTTCACCAGTGATGCCTCAGAAAATAAAATACAAGCATTAGAAACACAGCAACTGTGATAAAAATACATAAATCGAACTTGACAATTAATAGAATATGTAAAAGTTCACGTCACACCTTTCACATTGTGACGGCACACCTGTTGCAAAATACTATAATAGATGTTATTGTGCTTGTGTCACTTTCTCTTATAAATTCAATAAATTTTAATGTTTTTAAATAAAATGGAATGTAATTTGGAACATTCTGAAATCACACATGAATATTTGAATTCAGTGAAATCTGAGATATTTCTGACCAAAGTGAATTAGATATGATGAAATCTTGACTTTTTCACGTCAATAGCAGAAAAGTAAAATAGGCATTTTTGTCCAACACTTTGGTAAATTAAAAACAAGAAAAATTTTAGAAATAATAAAATATATTTTAGATGTTTTTATTCATCACTTAACAGTTTAAGAATAAATAATTCAGTCTGAGAGATCTAGTGTGAGCTTTCAAACAAAGTGAACTTCATGCGACTCCCAGATTTTAAAGTTACCGACTAGTATATAATATTAAATAATAGTGAATGCAAACTTAATACATTATATATGCTACTGTGAGGTTTGCCGACTGAATGCGTTAGCGAAAATTGTCGCGCGGTCACGACTATGGTGTGGGAGTGGAATAAATTCTCAGAGACAGGCTATTCATATTGTAAGCTGTTTATATAACAAAATGTTCTTACAACAACAATACAGTACACTTTTATCAGGCGAAGGAGGTCAAACCTTCTGAGTCTTTTTTCTCGATGACGAAGGTGCAAAAGGTAAGTTCGCGGTAGTCGACGGCCCCTGGGGCGCACTTGTTAGTTCCAAAAGAAAAATTCTGGTAGACGGGACGATTCTGGGATTGGTGCACAATTCCACGGGAGTGAGTGATACTCCAAGGAGGTGAAATCCAACTGCAGAACCTTACAGAAACACCCAGTTGTAAAATCGAGAAACAAAGAGACAAGAAATCAGAACAGAATATCGAG